CGCCGCCGCCGCCGATGCCGTCGCGCTGGTGGAGGATGAGTCGCTCTTTGCGGACGACGACTTTCCGGAGGACGACGAGCTGGGCGCGGCTGCGGCGCCGGCGGCGGGCAAGGCGCCGGCGGCGGGCAGCAAGGCGCCGGCGGCGGCCGTGGACCTGAACGCCGTGGACGAGTCGCTGTTCCTCGACGAGGATTTGCCCTCCGACGACGACTAAGGCGGCGCTAGGCCGGGCGGGAGGAGCGGGGAGGGCCAGGCTGGGGTTAGAGAGGGGCTGCCACCTAGACCGGAGAGTGTAGACGGGCGGCGGCGGTAGGCAGCGGGGGGAGGCGGCGTGCACGCTGTGCCGGATCGACCCGGCCGACGACGCGTGTTGCGTGCACACCACGCGGACCACGCGGATATACGTACACATGTCGAGTTAACTAAACACCGCTGCCAAATACCCACGCCCAGCCGCTCTGCCACGGCAGCTTCTGAGCCTGTGCGCTGTGGCTGTGCCCGTTTCACGCGCGTCAGCGACAGCGTCCACGTGCGTCAGCTTCTCACTGCCTGCTTCGCGGCCTTGATGATGCGCGAATGGCACTCCTTCGCCGACAGCTTTTGCCGCGGACCGGGAAGCTGGCAGAAGACTGGCTTACCTCGCACCACGTTCTCTCCGCGGGACAGCATGGCGGCCGCGCTCGCAGCGCTCATTGTGTTCGTCTCGGGGTCGAAGTCGTACACCACCACGGTCACCATCCGCTCGTAGATGCCTCTGGACGCCAGGTTGAGCGCCGCAGCCGAGGCATCCTTGGGATATTTGAAGGCGTGCCCGGCTTGATGCGTCTTCCGCATCTCATCTTCCTCCTTACTTCCGTACGCGTGCCTGTCGCAACCGAGACCAAAGCGCCCCTGATCATGGGCGACACATGCGCGCTTTCTTGGGTTGGGGGGCAGCCGGAGGATGAGATTACTCGCGGCGGTTGGAATGGGACCCGCGAGCATGATGAGTTTTGCCGCTTTGCGCGCTCGCGGCAACCGCTTGATCGCCCCCACCATCGATGTCGAGTTGACATGGCTCGTGTGGCCGCTCCAGCGCGCGTAATAGTGGGCAAAGCCGTGTGCCTGCAGCCACTCCTCGCCGTCGAAGCCCGGGCCCTCCATGACGCAGATGAGCCGAGATGCCATGCAAGCAGCGGTCCAGACTGAGAGCGCCATCGCGTGATCGGCCGTGTCAAACGTGGCGTTCCATACTTCTCTGCGGCGGCCTGGTGGCACAGCCGCGGCGGCGGCCGGGGGCAGCGGCCGATTGATGTGCTCGAGGATGTCGATCATCTGGGTGCCGTCGAACAGGCCGTCGAACAGCGGATCCTTCCTCGCATCGCTCCCCGAGTAGAGCCCACGCAGGTCCGCCTTGACGCAGAGCGGAGGGAGCTTCGTCGATGCAACGCTGCTACCGGGAGCTGCGGCTTGCGACACCTTTTTAAGCACACCGGGATCGAAGGGCCGCCCTCCGTTACAGATGCGCAGCTTGGCCTCCATGATGTCGAGACCGATCGCCACGGGGAAGCATTTGTTGACCTTGTTGTGCATTCCAGCACTGAGCCTCAAGGATGTCTCCAGCCGGCGGCGACTGTTGCCCTGGCTGGAGCCAAGGTCGGCGAATCTTGCCCCGAAGGTTTCGAGGTGGTGTCGAAGCGACGAGGTCGACGTGAACTCAAGCACATTCCGGGCGTCCGCGACGGCGAGGGGGGAGCACGCTGGAAGGGGGTTGGGTGGCATATTCATGTACATATTGCAGGACGGAGTTTGGTTGTAAAATTCTCACTGTGCCTCTTTTGGTACCTGTGTCGAACCTAATTGCAGGGGCGAGAGAGAAATTTGAATTCTAATTGCAGGGTCCCCCACTCGCCCGCGCTCGCCGCTGTCGCTGTTTGCCGCTCACTCATCAGCGTGCGGTGTGGCCCGGCCACACACAGGGCCTCTGCCACACTCAGCCGCCTCCTTGCTTTGTCCCCGCTAAGTAGAGGTGTCCGTTTTTATTTATTTATTTAGCTCACCTATGTGCCCCTCACAGCAGCTCCTGACCACGGCCCGCAGGCGCCTGTTGATAGGTCCAGGTGATAGCCCTGGATGGGCAATGCATACGCCTAGTTAGGCCTCGAATCGCCCGACCGCGTCCAGGTGCTCTGTGGTCGGATTTGTGACACCGCCGCACCGCGCCGCGGCCGGGGGCCCGCCGGAGGACGAGGATGGCCGTGACGGACCGGGACGAGCTCTGGGAGGTTCAGTGTCAGTGTATATATTGTAGAGACCAATCATGTCCACAATATCTCTCAATCTAGCTAAGCCAGGGGAGGCGATGCCGGGGGCCATACAGCAGCTCGATGGTGCTTCGCCGGCGTGCGTCCCGGAAGCGGTGCCGGCTGGGCGGTCCGGGGGAGAAAAGTGAAAACTCAGGACAACGCCGACACCGCTCTGATTCGACTTTTGACTTACTTCAAACAAAGACAGTCGCACGCGCCCGACCGAGCGCGGCGCGTGCGACTGTCAGGAGCGGATCCGTCAGTTAGTTGTGTTCACGCCGGGATCGTGTCCCCGACAACATGCACAGACTTTAGGCCGCGACAGTAGGAATATTCCGGTGGGCGGGCCCCGGTTATCGGCCGCCGGTTATTAGCGGGGAGAGCGGCATTGTGCACGGAGCTAAGCCTAAGTGCATTGCCGTGCTTACCGAAGTCGCTTAGGCGGCTCCGGTGGTTTGCCTGTGATAGTGCTAGCACGCGCCAGTCCGCACCTGTGTCGAGCCTGTCTGCTGTGAGAGAGAGTTGATTTTGTTAAACTCTATCTATCTAGCGCAGCGCGAACTCGTCCCTGTTCATAGCTCGCGGGTTGAGGAAAGAGAAGGTAGCCGTGTGCCGCGTACAGTTGGCTAGCCGTCTCAGACACAAAGGCATGAGGCGGGGGGGGGGGGGGGGGGCCCCTAATCTCAATTTCCCCTTTTCCAAGGAAGTTACATGGTCGTTCTAGCAGCTGCTCTAGCACATCCATGGCATGGCCCATCACACCACGACCTAGTCCACGACATGGCCCATCACACATACTTAGGGCTTCAACTTTTGTGATGGCGCACCCCTGACTGGCGATGAGCGGCTGGAGCTCTGCTACTTCCCAGCGATCGGTGGCGACCGCTTCGTCGAAGGTCGCGGCGACAGCGACTCCGCGTCGCCTTGTGTCGAGGGCGACTTTGCTCGGGTCCGCCGCCACGGCCAAACCCGCAGGCTCCTGCTCTCCCTCTCCTCGCCTCACCACATCGTCGCCGCCGCCGTGCGCAGGACCCGCACCTCTCCTTCCCATTCGGCGGTCGTGCCGACCTTCGCGGGCGGGACGGCCAGTACTACTGCTTCCTCTCGGCGCCGCGCCTGGCCATCAACATCAAGACGGAGGACGCCACCTTCCGGCTGCACAACCTCTACGACGAGGGCGGCACGCTGGTCGTCGACGGGTCCTTCCTCACCGAGGTGCACTTTGTGGCGCGCGTCGGCGGGCGGAAGAACAAGCTCTGCCTCGCCTCGTTTTGGGCGAGCGAGTTAAAGTGCGATGCCAGAGGATATGAACCCAGGCGCCCGTTGTTTCCAGCCAGACCCGTCCCTGGCCTGTCCGTAGCGAGTACAACACGGGCTTCAACATGATCACGGGGAAGTGCGGCGGCGGCGACTTCTTCCTCGGCATCGGCACCTCCAAGCGGTGCGAGGAGATGCTCATCGCCGTCCGCTTCTCGAGCGCCGAGTTCACCATCGGCGACTGGACCGCCGTCGTGCGCGGAAACTGGGTGTACGAGCGCATCTCCGGCCCGGCCCACCGCCTCGATATCTCGCTGCGCGCCCGGGGCGGCGTGGCGGCACGGCACCTCCCGCATGGGATCATCGGGCAAGCCTTTGCGTCGGCCGAGCCGCGCCACGGCCGCGTCGACGAGTACCCGGCTTCGGGCACCTTTCGGACGTCTGCGATGGCGGAGGGGGCCATCGACGGGAACGCGGCCATGTACGAGCTCGCCGGCCCCCACGCCACCGCATTTGCCTTCTCTCGGTTCGAGGGCGCCGAGGTGTCCGCCGTTGCGCGCGGCGCGCTGGCAGCGGACGCGGACGCCGCGTCGACGGACGGCGCGGTCGAGGCGTCGCACCTCTCGAGCCGCCGTCGGCTGTCCGAGTCGTCCGCGCCCTGCTCTCCGCCCCCGTCGCCGCCGCCGCCCTCGCCGCCGCCTCCCCTTGACTACGAGCTCGAAGAAGCGCCGCCCTCACCGCCTCCGCCAAAGGGCAGGGGGCTAGATTGCACTTGCGAGTACCTCTGGTACAACGGCTTGTGCGACACCCCCGACATGGAGTCGGAATTGCTCGCCTCGTTGGGGGCGGCTTGCACCGACCTCGACGCAAAGGAGGAGGAGTGCTGCCGCATCTCCCCTCCCTTGCCCCCGTTGCTGCCGCCGTCCCTGTCGCCGTCGCCCCCGCCGTCCGTCTCGCCGTCGCCGCCGCCTGCCCACACTGGCCCACCCCCGTGCAACCAGCTCAACATTGCAGAGAACTTTGACCTGACTTGCGAGATTGCTAGTGTTATCAAGTGCGACGATTACTACATGCCACTCAATGCTCCGTGCGAATCCGATTGCTGGTACGCCAACTGCATTGTCTCAGAGGACGAGTGTGTCATGGGTGACCGTTGCGAGGGGGGATCGGCGGCGACACCAGCCCCAACCCCTGCACCGACCCCGTCCGGTCCAACGCCGACACCAGCGCCCACTCCGACCCCTACCTCGCCGACCCCTGTCCCAAACCCCGCACCCACTCCAACCCCTACCCCAGCACCAATCATAGACCCGCCGCCGGGCCCGTTGCCCTATTGCGACGTGCCCCCGCCAGTAGAATTGCCCCCCGACGAGGAGGAGTCGGAATGCTATGGCTGCACTGAGAACAGGCCCTGCTGCCATAAATTCCATACTGTCGGCTTCTTAGCCGGGCAAGAGTTTAAGTGTACGGATGGATGCCACACTTTGGAAGGCTACGCCACTTGCCAGGAGAACGAAAAGCTGGGAATGATCGCACTTTACATTTGGTGCAACCGCCCGCCGCCCGTCTACACGCCGTCGCCGCCGTGCATCCACCGGCCGCCGTCGCCGCCTCCCCCGCCGAAACCTCCATCGCCGCCTGCGTGCACATCGAGTCAGGAGGAAAGCGGCGAGTGCAGTTGCAAACGTGAACGTGGCGGGGTATACATTGGACCCAATGGTGGGGGGACGGGTAGCAGCAAGACAGTGTATTGTGGCTTCAATTGCAAAAATTGCCGCAAACATTCTCCAATGTACATCCACGACGGCCTCATAATCACGACCAACACCCCAAACGTACATGTGTACCGGCCCTGCATATCCGGAGGGCAAGGGAACTGCGAAGGCCAAAACTCCTGGGGACAACACCTCTGCGTGACCTGCGATGGGGCATAACACGTGTGCTGAATGTTTTACTCGATGGCGGTTCGGGCGGGCAATGACTTCGCGCATGAGGTTACTTCCCCCAGGATTGGTCTTCTCTGCCTGCGGGAACACCCTCGGGCGGCCGGGTGGGGCTGCGGCTGGAGCTAGCATGGCTCGGTAGTCCGTCACAGAGCGGTCGGACTGAGTCACCGAGGGGTGAGTCACGCGTCCGCCTGCCTCGCGCGCGCCTTGTGGCACAGCACGGTATGGGCCATGGAGTTAGCGGAATCGACCACCAGCCCCCAAAGATCGCTTTTCTCTGACACCAAAACGCACCCCACTATCGCTACTAGTGCCGGGGCAGCTAAACGACAATGGTCGAGCAGACAATCCTAAGTCGTCAACACTAAAGGCGCCGTGCGGGAGCCCTCTCCTCACGCTGTCGGCGAGCGCGTCGGTGTCGGCCTGCCCGTGCGGGAAGCGGTGCCCGTCGGGAAACTCGAGGTACTCCGCCGACGCGTACTGCCCCGCAAGCTGGCGGCACCACTCGTAAAACGGATCGTCGCGGCCCTGCGCCACCGTCGCCGGGAAGTCGAGCGGCGCGGAGAAGAGGGGCGCAAAGGCGTTCGCGCGGACCGGCATCCCGCAGACGAGGACGTTGTGGCTCCACGACGGCGGTCGGCCGGCGGCGAGGTGCGCGGCGGTCAGCAGCGTGATGAGGATTGCGCCCTGCGAGAAGCCAAGCAGCGTGTCTGGGCGGTGCCGCTCGACTGCCTCCTCGAGCCGCGTCATCGCCTCCTCGGCGTGAGGGTAGCGGACCGTGACGCTCTCGTCCATCAGCGCCCGCAGGTAGGCAGCCGGCTCGCGCGTCCCCTCGTAGGCGTCGTGCTCGACATCGTACCAGCTGAGGAACGGGCCGTCGAAGCGCGCGGCGACCGCAGGGTCGATGTATGTCTGCTCCAGCGCGCCCTCGACAAAGACAAACTCGGCCTCCGACTTTAGCGTGCGCCTCAGCTTGGCGGTCTGCACGCGCATGATCGCCTCGTTCGTCCCGCCGCCGTGGCAGCACAGGACGCGAGGGAGTGCGGCGGCCGCCCCGAGCGAGGTTGCTGCCCACCGTGTCTGACGTGACGGTCGGTATAACCGAAGCGGTCAGCAATGGCGACCCCCACCTCGGATTTGCGCACGGGGGCGAGGCCGATTTTCGAGGCCGGCACGGCGTGTTCTACAACTTCTTCTCCGCGCCTGACTTCGGCGTCAACGTCAAGACGGAGGAGTCTCGCTTCTTCCTGCACGGGAACAAGCTCACCGTCGACGGCACCTTCATCACCGAGGCGCACGTGGTCGTGCGCAACCGCACGCCGGCTCACACAAAGTGGGCCAACGCCTCCTTCATCGCGGCGAACTTAAACGAGTTCAACACGGGCTGGGCTTTTGTCAGGGCAGCTGCGGCGGCGCAAACTTCACGCGCGGGCTCGGCAGCCCCAAGAAGACTTGCGGCCGGCTGACCGTCAAGACCAGCTTTTCGGGTGCGTCCTTCACCGTCGGGAACTGGACGCTGACCGTCCACGGCAACTACGTCTACGGCCGCATCTCCGGGCCCCAGCACCGCCTTGACCTCGCCTTCAAGGCCCGTGGCGACGCGCCCGCGCGCTCGCTGCCGCACGGCATCATCGGACAGTCCTTCTCGTCGACGGCCCCGCGCCATGGAAAGAAGGACCTCTACCCCAAGGAGGGCCGCACCGTGACCTCTGCAATGGCGGAAGGCGCGATCGAGGGGCGTGCGGCGCAGTACGAGATGCCGTCGCCCCACGCCACGAACTTCGCGTTCTCGCGCTTCGAGGGCGCCGAGGCGCCGGCGCCACGCCTGTCACCTCCTCTGGCCGACATGGAGGCTTCCGCCACAGAGCGGTCGGACTGAGTCACCGAGGGGTGAGTCACGCGTCCGCCTGCCTCGCGCGCGCCTTGTGGCACAGCACGGCGGTCTGGTTGAGGAACATCTGGCGAGGGGAGAGCGCCGAGGAGACGATGCGTGTGGAGGTGGCTAAAGCCGTAGGGCGTTGACTGGAACCGCGGCGTTGCTCCTTCAGGACGCCGCCCAGGCGCCGGTGGCCTCTCAGCTCATAATGGAGGGGAGGCGCTCCACCGGGTTATGGACAGGGGGGGGCGGGGGGGTTATATAGCACACACAGGCGCTATCAACTTCTA